AAACCACATTCCCAGTAGATTTCACATAGCAATCTGGGCTTGGCCACACAGGACCGACTTTCCTGCATGGCAGTGGTCAGGTAGAGTTGGGCAGCAGGTGTCCACTTGGCATGAATTTGCCAGTACCCAGCACCCTCACTGAGAGCTCTGGTGGCATAGTGCCTAAGGCATTTGACTGCCAACCAGAAGGCTGGCAGTTCAAACCTACCAGCCACTCCTTGGAAGGAAGACTGGGCAATCTACTTCCGTAGAGGTACCACCTCAGAAACCCAAGGAAGAGTCCCTACGAGTCAAAATTGACTCACCCAGGGCCACTTCAGGCATGGATGTTACCTGTTGACCATGTGGACACTTCAGTGCACCAACCCAGCTCTAAAAGCTAAAGCCCTCCTTCTGAATTTAAATGCATCATAGGTGATAACAACACTTGTGAAAATTCCCCCAGAATTTCTATAAATTCTCAGTAGCTCTTCAAGTCTTCTTCCCAATGCAGCTGGCCCTTAGAATGAGTGTCTTGACCTACTTCAGACTTCAAAGGAGCTGACAAGCCCTGCTGCTTAATAGTGGCCTCTGAACACTTGGATTAAGACTACGAGCACAAGATGCCATCCCTGACAGATAGAAGGGCCTCATAGCTCAGCTTCCATAAAACGTTTAGATTATTTGATAAATGGCAGATGTATTGAGGAAAACATTTCACATTTCCAGACAATGCTACATATTCAAAATAATCTTTTCCATAGGTCTGTTACCCCTTCTTTCATTTGTCCTGAGTTCATCTCTTCCAAGTAACGAAAACAGTCTTCTTCATATCATTCACTGGGGTTGCAAACATCATCACCATCATTGTCTTCCTCTTTCTGACTTTTCAAACCTAGGAGATGCATACATCCCAGGTTACAGCATCACTTAGCCTTCACCCAAATCCTATTTTAGTCAGCCTTCAAGATGTCTGCCCAACTTGGTGCTTCTCAACCAAGAAGAGTAAGGGACAATATGATGTAAAAACTCTACATTGAAAGTCAGAAGAACTGCTTTGCAGCCTAACTCCCTTCCTGACTTATCTGTGTGACCTTTAGCAAGTTGCATAACCTCTCAGAACTTCAATTATCTCATCTGTAAAGTGGAGAGAATAGTCTTCTGGTCAGTCAGTTACACTCACTGAGCACTGAGCACTGAGCACCGAGCACCTACAGTGTGTAGGCCTTGTTGCAAGCACTTCCCATTCAGGATAAGCAAAGCAGAGCTGCTGACAGTGCCTAAGGCAATGACTACTAACCAGAAACCTGGCAGTTCAAACCCACCAGCCACTCCGTGGAAGGAAGACTGGGCAATTTACTTCTGTAAAGGTTTACCACCTCAGAAACCCATGGGGTCACTATGAGGAGGAATTGACTCAGTGCCAGTGGGTTTGGTTTTTGGTTTGGAGTCAGCCCCAGGGAATTCATTCTTTCTGAAGAGGATTCACAAGGGAGACCATTGGGGGAGGGGGAGACCCTCTAAGATGAGATGAGTGAGCCGTGATCTTGAGGATGGGTAGGAATTAGTTATGAGAAGGCAAATGGGGACCTATGTTCTAGGCAAAGGGAAATGCTAAGACAGGATGCAATCCTGAGGGAAGGCCAATGTGGTGGGAGTTCAGAGAGTGACAGGGAGAGTGGAAAGGTGAGGAGAGGCAGGATGAGACAGGCCTTGTCAGCTTCACCTCTGCAACCTGCCTCACAAGGTCATTGTGAGGCATAGATACAGGGCTGTGGAAACACATCAGTATTGAAAAGTACCTCAAGGATGTTGGCAATCATTATTCTCCTTGTCACTGAGAACCGCCATTTTCCTTTTAGCTTTGGTGGGCCGTGGGAAGGACTTTCTTGATGAGGAGGGCAGGTTGCCCTTGGCACCAGCTCCCGGCTTCCCTCCAGAGGCCAGGGCTACACACAAAGCCTGCTCTGTGGGTGAGCTTCAAAAGAGAGAGCTGAGGAGAAGAGAGCCTATGCCAGCAACACCTTCCTAGTGTCAGTGCCCACTCCCGACCTGGGCATTTCTCTGAATCCTTAAGGCCCTTTTGGCTTCCAGAAACAATGTGGTCCTCTTCCAGTGCCAAAGAAAATATTGAGAGGATGGCAATGGGTAGGGGAGGGGAGTGGAGACTTGATGAAGTCTTTCCACGAAAAAGAATAAACTGTGTCCTCTACCTAGAGCACGCTGATAGCCATCTCAGGGCCGGCTCAGGACCACGGTTGAAGAATTTCAAGGCTCATAAACATCACTCATCAGAATACCAGGAAAGTCAAAAGGCCCCTTAGGTTTACTCAAGCCAGAAATCAGTAAATGAAACCACAAAACAGGCATGAGATTGTCCACCCTATTTTCCCAGGAGAACTTGTTTGCCACAAGGCAGCCACCAGGGGGCTCCAGCCAGTGGCCAGCCAACAAGAGCAGCATCCAACCTCTCCTGTCCCTGCTATCCTCACCCAAAGACAGAAGCAGCAATGTGGGCCTAAGCCCGCCTGGTAGAATATTGACTCTTGGGTCCACGTGTGTATAGAATCTGAATAAAATTTTTAAATAAATGAAAACTAATCTCTGGTGTAAGCTCTACCTCTCCTCAATTCATTCCATGTTGGGAAGAGAGATTGCCTGGAAGGCCTCTGAGTTTTGGGGAATCCTCAGTTTCTCATTGGTGAAATGGCCTCATCATAGCTGCTAGAATAGGATTGTTGGGAGGATTTGAGAATGGAGATGAAATAGATAAGGGCACTTAGCACCACAGCTGGCACACAGTAGGTGCTTAGTGAGGAGCAGCGCTTGACAAGGCAGACAGCCCATCTTGGGGTTGTGTTTTCACTTGGGGCTGGAGCAGCACAGCTCCATGGGAGACAGTGGAGGCAAATAAAGCCCTTAAAGAGAGAATAGGAAGGATCATTGGCATTTGCTATGGAGTCTAACTCATGAGTGGCCCTTCCTGTCGTCCACACAGACTGAACTAGTCACATATGCTGCACTCTCTCTCTGCCTGTCTCCTCAGAGCTTCTTGTCCCTCTAGCTCTTTACCTGCGTTTGCCTTTGTCTCCATGATTTATCTCTGCCCTAGATTGACTATCTGAGGATCAGTATAGTGGAATGGGAAGAGCTGTGGCTTTTGAGTTCAGGCTGAGGCTCAAATCCCACCTCTGCCACAGACTGGCTGTGAGGTATTGGTCAAATCCTCTATGAACCTCAGGTTCTTCATCTATAACCTCCTGCAAGAGAGGGACTTTAACTGCTAACTAGAAGGCTGGTGGTTCAAACCTACCAGCCACTCCTCAGAAGGAAGAATATTTGTCTTATTTACCATAAATCCTTAGTACCTAATTTGTTTCTCACATATCATAAGGGTCGAATAATAATGATAGCATTAAAATCTTCCAGACTCTGTTCTAACCACTTTTATTTGTATTACTGGTGTGGTGGTTAAGTGCTTAGCTGCAAACTAAATGGTCAGCAGTTTGAACTCACCAGCCATTCTGCAGGAGAAAATGTGACAGTCTGTTTCTGTAAAGATTTACAGCCTTGGAAATCCTATGGGGGCAGTTCTACTTTATCCTACAGGATCACCAAAAGTGGGCATTTACTCAACAGCTATAGGGGTTTTTCTTCGTTTTAACCCATTTAGTCCACAGAACAATCCTATTAAATAGAAGATATTTTTATCCTTGTTTTACCAACTAGGGAAATGAAGTTCCCATTTATTCACTGAATGAATGAATGAACCCCATGACAGCTGTTAGAATTATTTATGTCAAAGAGCCTGACCAAGTACCTGGCATCTCTCCTCTTCCATACCCTGTGTCTGATGCCCTTCCTGTTTCTCCTGGCACTGAGACAGGACTGTTGAGCAGTCTCTACACGTAGACCAGACATGCCACTTCCCAGACTCCCAGACAGGCTGGCACCCATGAGTAGGGAGATCCTTTGAATGAGTCAAGGGGCCTGGACATAGAAATTCCTCAAAATACCACCAAACACATCAATGACACAACCAACTTCCCCTCCTCCCCTTCCCACAGAAGAGCCTGCTGTGGCAGTCCAGTCTGCTGTAATCTGTGCAACATCTAACCAACCATGGGACATTGGAACAAGATGGCTAGAAGCAGTGCACAAAACAATGCCCAGTGCTGAATAGTTTTCCACAAGAGCAGAGGGAATTCAACAGGCTTCAAATGATGCCTAGGACACAGTAGGCGTTTAATAACTATTGAATTGATTGGTAGTTTCCTATGTGCCGGCAATCTACATGTATTAACCCAAAATTCCATAACAGCCATAACATTGAGCATGTTATCCCCATTTTACAGATGAGGACACTGAAATAAATATTTAAGGACCTTGTCCAAGTGGAATGTGGCAGGACACTACTTGAACCCAACCTTGTCAGGCTCCAAAGCCTGTGCTCTTAATACCATGTTACCTGAAACCAAATAACTAAAGGGCCTTTTTCTTTCCTTCTCTAATAATTCCCCTATCTCTAAGCACCAGGGCTAGGCTTAGGGACTGCCAATCCATGACTGGGTTTCCTGGCCCTGTCATTTCCTCTCTGATCCCAAAGTCCATCTAGCAACCCCTCTGGTTTCCTCTGTGGAATAGAAGGTGGCCTTTGGCCCCTGTAAAGAGCTGTGGTGGCATAGTGCCTAAGGCATTTGACTGCTAACCAGTAAGTTGACAGATCAAACCCACCAGCCACTTTGTGGAAGGAAGACTGAGCAATCTACTTCTGTAAAGATTTACTGCCTTGGAAACCCAAACAGGGTTTCTCTGAGTCAGAATCTACTTGATGGCAGTCAGTTTCGTTTGGTTTTGGTTTTGGGCCCTGTAGAACCCCCAGAGCTGGTAGTCCTTCCAACTCAATGGATAAGGAATCCTGAAAAGGTTGGGATCTAGGTATAACGAGTGCTGCTTTCAGAGAGGACTTCTAAAGGCTTCCTTGAAAACCTCGTCCCTCACTCCTCTCTCCTCTGGTGCAGCTTGTGACTCCTACTGGACATCCGTCCACCCTGAGTACTGGACCAAGCGTCACGTCTGGGAATGGCTCCAGTTCTGCTGTGACCAATACAAGCTGGATACCAACTGCATCTCCTTCTGCCACTTCAACATCAGCGGCCTGCAGCTGTGCAGCATGACCCAGGAGGAGTTCATTGAGGCGGCTGGCATCTGTGGGGAATACCTGTACTTCATCCTTCAGAACATCCGCACTCAAGGTCAGGGTTCCCGAGGCTGAAGCCAGGACGCCAGGCTGGGAGGGGGTGGGGGATGCAAGGGTGGGACCAAATGATCTCATGAGGTCTTTTCCCCCCACCTTACTCACATAGCAAGTCTCCCACTAACTAAAAACCTCTTAATACTAGAATCTCAATTATGCAGAAGTTGGAGATTTTTGGTAAAAGGGAGCAAGTTGAGTAAATTAAAAAGAAGAAACCAAAAGGAGATATGGTATAGAAAAAGTCTGTGACCACCATGATAATATTAGGAAAAAGAAGGACACCAAATTGTGCACATGAGATATAGATGACAGATACTAATATCAACCAGTATATCCACAATACTGCATTACCATTAACAACAAACACCAGGCTACAGATAAACACACAAACATCTGAGAAGATCAGATGGGGGTCAGTGAACAGGATTATACTCTAGACCAATGATAGATTCAGCTGAGGTTAATCTTGCACAGATACCAGTGACACAAAATACCAACAATCCTTACAGAAACAACAGAAGACAGACACAGAGCAATCCCTCACAGATAGCCAGGAACCATGGGAGAGAGATCTAACAGATCTATCAACTCAGGACCATAGTACTGGGGGACACCAGATTCAATTGGTGCAACAAAATACATAAAAGTCTTGTTCCTCATCCTACATTGGTGTGTAGCGATTGGGGTCTTAAAAGCTTTCAAGTGGCCATCTAACATGCAGCTAATGGTCTATTGTTGGAAGCGAAGAAGAGTGCAAAAAAAAAAAAAAAAAAAAAAAAAACAAGAGCATTTGGAAGCAATCAGCCCTAGTACACAATGGCCCTTGAGACCAGAAGAACTAGATGGTGCCCAGCTACCAATGCCAACCACTCAGAAAAGGGTCAAATCTGGAGATCCTGGATAGAGTGGGAGGAAAAACGTGGAACAAAATCCAAAAACTCAATAATGACCAGAATTAGTGGTCGGATGGAGTCTGGTGAGACCCCCAATACTATGGCCTTGGGATACATTTTGGGCCTGGAATAAAGCTCACTCCCAGGCACTGTCTCTCAGCCCAATAGTAAACAAGATATACATGCAAACCACTCAACCCAGGGTAATGACCCACATACTCTATGGAGATGCATCCCTTGGAACAATCGACCACAGGGTATCAGAGGGGCAACATTCACACGGAGGAAATGCAGGATACACAGGAGTGCGTAACTATGAGGGACGCAGGGGTAGAGGGAGTTACTGGGCAGAGAGGAAAGGAGACTGGGTTAGGGTTGGTGATGGTAAATGGGGAGTGAAACTAAATGTACATGAAATGTTGAATGTAAAACAAACTCTGCTCTGAAGAAAAATAATGAAAAGAAGAAGAAGAAGAAACCAAAAGAAAAAATTTAAATATGTCAGACACTGCCCAGGAACCAGGCAGTGAACAAAATAATGTTTATAAATCATTATGCTCATGAAGATTTCAATGATAAAAACCAACAACCAAACTCATTGCCATTGAGTCAATTCCAACTAATAGCAACCGCATTGGGTTTCCGAGGCCATACATCTTCAGGAAAGTAGATTGTCCCATTTCCTTCTGTGGAGCAGCTGGTGAGTTTGAACAGATGACCTGGTGAGCAGTCAAATGCCTTAGTTACTACACCGGCAGAGCTCCTTTTACCTTTATGGGATACATAAAAATAGGTTTTTGCTTCACCTTTCATAAGAAAAGGGGAAAGAAAGATTTAACCAGACCCTTTCCCTTCCTGCCTCCAGAATGAATATTCCAACTAACTAGCATTTCATTTTATTGTATTCCTAATGGACAAGGATCAAATGACCAGAAGGTTGTGGGAGTGGCATTATTTAACTCTGCCAGAGGAGAATGGATGGACAAGTTTTTAAAACCCAAGAAAGATCTCTGAGAACACCTAATTCTGTGTCTCAGCATCACAAGCAAGGGAACAGAGGTCCAGGGGTTAAGTGACTTCCCCAAAGTCACACAGCAAGCAGGCTTGAATCACAGAAAGTCTGAGATCAGAAAGACCTGCATTCAAACCCTGGTTCCAACACATCCTGGCCATAGGACCTTAGGGCAGGGATTAACCTCTCTTTGTCTGCATTGCATCATCTGTACAGTGGGTGCTGATACATACCTCCAGTCTTCTTGAGGACTCAGTGAAATATTACCTGGGATGACATATAAATAGGGAAATGCAGTAAATGGGGGTAGTTTCAAGGCAGAAATTTTCAGGAAAGAGAAAGGAAGGAAGTACGAGGAGGATAGAGGGAAAGAAACAAGAATGAGGAGGAGGGAGGAAGGGAGGGAAGAGGAAGAGAAAGGAAGACAGAAGTAAGGAAGCTCCAAGGAGGAGGGAAGGGGGGAGGGAGGTAAATCTCAGCTTAATATTAAGAAAGTCCTAACAGCACCTTCAGGAGCTCTAGTAGCTTAGTGCCTAAGGCACTTGACTGCTAACCAGAAGGCTGGCAGTTCAAACCCACCAACCACTCCTCAGAAGGAAGATGGAGCAATCTACTTCCGTAGTAATACTGCCTTGGAAATCCAAGAAGGGGTCGCTATGTGTTGGGTCTGACTCGACAGCTCATAACAACAACAACAACAACAGCACCTTCAGTTAGAGGTGTGGCTTCAGATGATACAAGAAGTAGGAAGTTTAGGAAGTTTCCTGCCACAGGAGATAACCACCAGAGTCTAATTAACCCCCTGCTTGACGAAGATGCTATGGAAGGGATTCCTGCATGGGCTAGAAAAACCACTGAGGATGCTTCAAGCTCTACAATTTGATTCATTAACTGTTCTCTAGGCCTTCCCCCATCTTCCACTTCTACAAGGGCCTGAGGGCAGGAAAGCCTGGTGCCCCCAGTACTGCTTGGCTTACGCCCTGGGAGCCATGGCTCCTCTTGGATGAGGAAGGGACAGACAGGTCTGCTGTCCACTGTTATCCAGTTTCCCTTGGTTAAGTCCAGCGATCTGCCAAGTGCTGGGAGCAGTGGCCTGGGCCTTCAGCCCTTCCCATGAGCGGGCTCGCCCTTGGATGTGGGGCGGGGGGGCAAGTCTGAGCAGGTCACAGTGGCTCAGGACCTCATTCCAGCCCTCCCAAGGGAACAGCCTTGCACAAGAACCCCAGCACCATGGAAAGGGGGATATCCCATCACAGAAAAGGATGCAGGTTGGCAGCGCCAGCCTAGGCCAAATGGCAAATCAGTAGTTTGTCACCAGGCCACAGGCCTGGATTTGAACCTATCAGCCAGTCCATGGGAAATAGATGTGGTAGTCTCTCCTGTAAAGATCCCTTTCAGCGAATCTTCATCAAGTAGGGGGTTAACTAGACTCTACTTGATTATCTACTCTGTCCTATAGGAACGGTTTAGTCAGAATCAACTTGATGGCAATGGGTTTTGTAGGCCAAAGGAGATACCATTTTTAGCAGTAAAACTATCTACAACACCAACCAGCTTCCACTGAAATCCCTCCTCTAATGTTCCTCAGGCATAATTTGGAGATGTGTGTATTGTGGACAGAGTTAAATACCTCTCAATTTTTCCAGGACAGATCCTATTTTTACCTATTATCCTGGAATGATTATAATTAGCACTGCCTTTCATTATCAAACTTATCACCATTTGGACAATGAATTATATATAAACAAGTTAACTAGTTATTATCTAGTTTAGGCTTTATCTTGCCTCGCAGATTAGGGCTGTAGCAGTACAGAATACAGGATAGGTGAGTTTTGATAAAGGAGCCACAATCTGTTGCTATAGAATTTAGGGAGGGAGTCCCCAGAAACATGGGGACAGTGGTAACTGGAAGAAGAGGTCAGCAGGAAGGGTGGAGGGCATAGGATATAGCTTCCCTGCTGTGAGGGAACAATGGGTCTTTCAAGAGTCCTCCATCCTGTTCTTGGTCAGCTCTGGAGCAGAGTGAACTAGGGTGCCATGTTAACCCAATCAGAAGATGGCACTAGAAGCAGACAGTTAATCCCCGTTCCAGCCTCCTTACCAAAAAAAAAAAAAAAAAACACCTCACTTCTGAGGAGTGGCTGATGGCTTTGATTAGCAGTCTTCTGATGAGCAGTCAAATGCTTCAGGCACTACACCACTGGAGCTCCCGCCTCCTTCGTAAATAGAAATTAGTCTTCAGATTGGAAACAAAACTAGGACAGAAGTAGGTGTCCTTTAGCCCATGCTGCTACCTGAACAAACATGACCTGAAACTCCTACTTCAACTCTAACCCACCCCATTCCACAGAGGAGGAAAGTGAGGCCCTAGCATAGTCTCCCAAATCTTTATCAAACTCAGTGTTCATACAGGATTGTGCACTAATTGTGGCCTCTTGTGTCCACTTTCTCCCTTGATCAGCACATAACAGACAACCAAATCATGGATCTTAGCGCCAAAGGAGAGCTTAGGGGTCTTTTGTCTCCTGTTGCCAATGAGTAAATGAGCCCAGATACTGAGACACTGGGCCAAGGCCATATAGGGTGTTAGCAGCCCCAGCCCACCTCTTCTGGCTCCTGGGTCAGGATGCATCTCCTAGTGCCCAATGGAGAATCTACAGAGGCACAGAAGCTGCCAGGATGGCTGGCTGGGTGCTCTCCATAAGCAGACTTTAAAGATGAGAAGATTATCACATCCCACAGACGGCTTCAGGGTGCCCCTATAAGGATCAGATGGTCTCCAACTTTCCTTCTAAATTCAATTCTTCTTAAAGGACACAGTTACTCCTTTTCTCCCCAATACCTCCTATACTGGCCTGGCCACAGGGAACCAGGATTGCATGGTATACTTTATGGATTTCTTTCTCTTTTCCAGGTTACTCCTTTTTTAATGATGCCGAAGAGACCAAGGCCTCCATCAAAGACTGTAAGTAACTGAGCTGTCCAGGCTGTGTCAAGTTGTTGTTGAGTATGTGGGCTTGGTCATTCTTTTAAGGCCACACTAAAGGATTGATGAACTGAAACAATTTCAGACTTAGAGGAGACCAAACAGCAAGCAGAAATGTGGTGGAAAGAGATGGGGCTTTGGAATCAGATGGTTCTGAGGCCACAGCCTGGGCCTGTGGGTTACTTACCCTTCCTAAGACCCAGTTTCTCCATGTGTACAGTGATGCACCCCTTGCTGGTTGTTTCAGAAACAGTACCAACAGAGTGCCTGGCATGTCCCAGCAATGCAGACACCCCTAAATTGGTGGCCAATAGCAATAACAGTAATAATGCTTCCTAAATGTTAGACATTGGAGAAGGTGCTCTGGTGGCACCGTGGTTAAGGCATTTGGCTACTAACCAAAAGGTCTGTAGTTCTAACCTACTAGCTGATCCTTTAATGTTATGTAAATGTGCCCTCACTTTGAAACAATTGAATAAACCCCTAAGACAAATTCTCCATCACAGTCACCTTCCACCTAAGATGAGGCAATCTGCTTCGGTAAAGATTTACAGCCTTGGAAACCCTACAGGGCAGTTCTATTCTGTCCTATAGAATGGCTCTGAGTCAGAATCAACTCAAGGACAATAGGTTTTAAATGTTAGAGGCCTTGTGGTTGATAATGTTACAAAGAATGTGAGCTCACTAAGCAGGTCAAGTTTATAACTATAAGGTGATCAAGGATCTCAAATGGCCTTGTTGATTCTGAAGATTAACCCTTACTGTTTCTCTTCTGCAGATGGAGGTTTAGGAAAGGGAATTTGGGAGGTTTTCCTTTTTAAAGATGATGATGTTTATTGCTATTAGTTATTAAGACTCGTGCAAAGACTCTGGCCTGGGACTAGGAAGAGCTGTAGGCTGGCCCCTTCTCTCATAGGCTTCCATCCATTCTTCCGCAAAGAGAGGGCAGGTTGCATGGAGATTTCTAAGGGCCCTGAGAGATGTGAGCCTTAGGGATAGGGATAGGGGAACATTTATCCTGATGTATCTTTGCTCTCCTTAAAATGAAGTCCCAAACAATTAACTGAGTACTCAGGTTTTGGTTCCTGGTTAACAAAGCAAAATTAATGGGTATTTTAGCACAGAAGAGCCAGGTCCCGGGACCATATGTCCAGTGGGCATATGCAGGCGTGCCCAAGGCAGCTCTATTTTCTGCAAGGCTCCCCCAACTCAAGAGTCCCTGGGTGGGGCTAACATGTTCGGCTGCTATCTGAAAGGTTATAGGTTTGAATCTACCCAGAGGGACCTCAGAAGAAAGGCTTGGCAATCTACCTGCAAACAAATAAACAAACCCCTCTGGAGCACAGTTCTGCTCTGACACACATGGGGTTGCCATTGCCATGAGTGGGGAACGACTCCATGGCAACTGGTTCCTGGTGCCACCTCCGGGCCACAGAGTGCAGCATCTCCTCCTACCTGTCAGTAAAGCTCTCACCCTATTTCCTAGTTCTGGTGGAATCCTTTCTGCTCCATATGCAGTAGCCTGGGGAATGCAAACCCCAACTTTCGCCACCAACCCAACCCAGGCAAAGCCCCTGGAAGAAATGAATCCACCAAGGCCCAGGAGCCATGTCAGAGTCTGTGTCTGAAGACTTGAGCTTGGGGCGTGGAGGGGATGCATTGAATAGGCCGGAATCTGCTTTCACTCTCTAAGCACCTTTTCCAGGTGGCAGTGTCTTCACCTGCAAATGGAAATCACTTGCCAGCCTGGCTTGCTAACAACATGAGAAAGATAATGAGTGATAAAGAGATGTTCTGTTCCTCAAATGCTTTAGAAGTAGCATGTATTAGCAAGTAATACATCCAT